ATTATAGTTTTTTTTTTTTGGAATATTAATTCATTTTATTTAATGAAATAATTTTATACATATTTTATTTCTTGCTTTTTTTTATTTTCGGCATATTATGGGGTACAGATTTTAAAAGTTTCAATAAAGCCCATTTCTCCCCCTCCCCCCAAAAGTCTGAGTCCTCTCATCCCAGGGATGCAGGGATGGTTCAACATACGTAAATCTATAAATGCAATTCACCACATAAACAGAAGCAAAAACAAAGATCACATGATCCTTTCAATAGATGCAGAAAAAGCTTTTGACAAAATTCAACACCCTTTCATGATACGAACACTTAAGAAAATAGCATAGAAGGGACATACCTAAAAATGATACAAGCCATATATGACAGACCCATAGCCAACATCATACTGAATGGGGAAAGATTGAAATCATTCCCACTTAGAACTGGAACCAGACAAGGCTGCCCACTATTCTCCACTTTGTTCAACATAGTGCTGGAAGTCTTGGCTACAGCAATCAGACAAGAAAATGGAATCAAAGGTATCCAAATAGGGGCAGAAGAGATCAAACTTTCACTGTTTGCTGATGATATGATATTGTATCTAAAAACCCAAGGATTCAACCAGAAAACTCCTGAACTGATCAATGAATTTAGTAAAGTCTCAGGATACAAAATTAATACAAGAAATCAGAGCATTCATATACGCCAACAACAATCTAATTGAGAACCAAATCAAAGACTCAATTCCCTTCACAATAGCAACAAAGAAATTAAAGTACTAGGAATATATTTAACCAAAGAGGTAAAAGCCTCTACAGGGAAGAACTATGAAACACTGAGGAAGAATAGCCAGAGGATGTAAACAGATGAAATCCATACCATGCTCGTGGATCGGCAGACTCAATATCATCAAATGTCTATACTACCCAAACTGATCTACAGATTCAATGCAATACCTATTAAAATCCCATCAGCATCTTCACAGATATAGAAAAAATAATTTTACGCTTCGTATGGAACCAAAGAAGACCCCGAATATCAAGAGCAATTCTAGGCAACAAAAACAAAATGAGGCATTATATGCCAGATATCAAACTATACTACAAAGCTGTAGTAATTAAAACAATATGGTATGGCACAAAACAGGAATATTGACCAGTGGAACAGATGTGAGAATCCTGATATAAAACCATCCTCATAAGCCATCTCATCTTTGCAAAGCAGACAAAAACATATTGCTGGGGAAAAGAATCCCTCTTCAATAAAGGTGCTGGGAAAAACTGGATAGCCACCTGTAGAAGGCTAAAACAGGACCCACACCTTTCACCTCTCACAAAAACCAACTCACGCTGATAACAGACTTAAACCAAGATATGAAACTATTAGAACTCTAGAGGAAAAGTTGGAAACACTCTCCTAGACATCGGCCTGGGCAAAGAGTTTATGAAGAAGTCCCAAAGGCAATCACAGCAGCAACAAAAATAAATAAATGGGACATGATCAAACTACAAAAGCTTCTGCACAGCCAAAGAAATAGTCATGAAAGTAAACAGACAGCCTACAGAATGGGAAGAAAATTTTGCATCCTATGCATCCGATAAGGGACTGATAACTAGAATATACTTAGAACTCACGAAAATTAGGAAGAAAAAATCAAATAACCCATTAAAAAGTGGCAAAGGACTTGAACAGAAATTTTTCTAAAGAAGACAGAAAGAATGGCCAACAAACATATGAAGAAAGCTCAACATCTCTAATATTCAGGGAAATGCAAATCAAAACCACAATGAGATATCATTAACCCCAGTGAGAATGGCCTTTATCAAAAAATCTCCAAACAATAAATGCTGGCGTGGTCGGGAGAGAGAGGAACACTCCTACACTGCTGGTGGACTGCAAACTAGTTCAACCTCTGGTGGAAAGCAATATGGAGATACCTAAAGCGATACAAGTGAATCTACCATTTGATCCAGCAATCCCATTGCTGGCATCTACCCAAATGATCCAGTGACACTCTACAAAAAAGACACCTGCACTCGAATGTTTATAGCAGCACAATTCATAATTCCAAGGCTGTGGAAACAAGCCCAAGTGCCCATCAATCAAAGAATGGATTAATAAAATGTGGTATATGTTCACCATGGAGTACTATTCAGCTCTAAGAACAATGGGTGATATAGCACACCTTATATTTTCCTGGTTAGAGCTGGAACCCATACTACTAAGTGAAGTATCCCAAGAATGGAAAAACAAGCACCAGATATATTCTCAGCAAACGGTATTAACTGAGTAGCACCTAAGTGGACACATAGGTGACTACAGTAATAGGGTATTGGGCAGGTGGAGGGGAGTGGGGGGTATATACATACATAAGTGAGTGAGATGTGCACCATCTGGGGGATGGTCATGATGGGAGACCTCAGACTTTTGGGGGAGGGGGAATGGGCATTTATTGAAACCTTTAAAATCTGTACCCCCCATAATATGCAAATAAAAAAAAAACAAAAAAAACAAAAACAAAACAAAAAAAAAAAAAGTCTGATCTCCATCATGACCATCCCCAGATGGTGCACATCTACTCATATGGTATGTATATACCCCTCACCCTCCAGGCCTGCCCATACCCTATTACTGGTAGTAACCTATGTGTCACTAGGCTGCTACGCAGTTAATACCAGTTGCTGCAGAATATATTCTGGTGCTTGTTTTCCATCTTTGGATACTTCACTTATAGTATGCGGTTACAGCGTCTAACCAGGAAAAATAAAATGTGCTATATCACCATTGTTTCTTAGAGCTGAAATACTCCATGTAATACATATACACATTTTATAGATAATCCATTCTTGGACTTGAGGCAACTTGGGCCTAAGATATAGTTTATAAATGGAAGTACAAGCAATTATGAAAGGGAGACCATCCCTCTCGTCTAACCTGTTACAACAGTTGACAAGACAGGACTTCAGATGTGGGGTGGATCCATGTGAAACCGTCTTTCCACAAGCAGCACAATGTTGGTGTGCCTTCTTATCTCTCAAAAAAAAAAAAAAAAAAATTTTTAAGTAAAAAAAGAACAGGACTTTGCCCTAAGGATTTTTGCCTAAAATAAAATCCCTTCTGTCACCAGTCTGGACATTTGTTAATGTCTAAGCCTAAGAAACATAAAACTTTTTAAATATATCAAATTCCAGACAACTAGCTTTCTAAATATGAGGCATGACATATTAGTGAACTTAACATAATTGTTTATTTTCCTAGAGTAGATAAAAATAGCTTTTATGGTTTGGGAATTTTCTCCTTTTTTAAAAAATAAATCATTTCTGTTGCATATTAGAAATCATTTCTGTTGCATTAAATATCTTAGAAAGGAGCAGCTCTAAGAACAGCAATTTGTCCTCAGGGACCCACACTCAAATTGCTTCATTACTTTAAGTAGCAGCACTCAGCTAAATATGTGTGCTTTCTAAATCCAATAAATAGCCAGGCATTTCCAAGATAACATTTGTATAAATAGAGCCTCAGCATGTATTCAATTTGTGTAAATAAAATGCTCTGGAATACACAGAAAAAGCATAAGACATTACTAATAAGCATTGAAGAAATTGATCTAATGTACAGAAAGAGTGTCCATGACAATTTGTAGAGAACAGCTTTACTAAACATAGTAAATTATGGAGCATCTTTCTTTCTCCCTGTTCCTCAAGGTAACTGTGCACTTTGTCTTGTTCTAGGAGTATACCATGCTGTGTCTGTTATGTGGCAAAGCCGAAGATACCATCAGTATTCTCCCTGATGACCCCCGACAAATGACTCTGTTATTCTAAGGACCCTTGTAATTAAGGTATGTTAGTTTACAATATAGCAAGCCCAATGGTTTGTCTTACTTAGTTTATAATGAAAATTCTTTGCATATTATTTTCTGCTTAGACTTACCTATCCTTTAAAAGAAGAAGTAATTTAGGCCAGGCGTGGTGGCTCACGCCTGTAATCCTAGCACTTTGGGAGGCCGAGGCGGGTGGATTGCTCAAGGTCAGGAGTTCGAAACCCCTTATTATTGTTTAATTTCCTTCTGTTTTCCCTGACACCCCTGAGCTTTGTCTGTGGTCTGGAACCTACTCTGTGCTCCCTCATATAGTGAGTACACATGCACTCAGGTTGAGACCTGTTAGACACCTTTTACGTTCCTTCTCTAGCCCTATCCTTCCACCTGCCTTTCTTTTCCTTCATTTCTCTTGCCTTTTTCACAGTGTGCTACCATATCCATGTCATGGACCACACCCATTCAACCAAACTACTGCAGGATCCCGAACTGTAGTTCCACACTCCATGTTCGTCTTCCTTGAACATGTCATCCCACACTCCCTGCTAACAAACCTCCAGTGCAGGCTTCATTTCCTTTTATTCCATATGCAATATGCTGCTCTTTTCCATATTGCCATCCTTATTCATTCCTCTCCCTTGATTGAATTGTCCTTTTCTCCCCTTCAAGCCAAGTAAATCTTACCTCTTTTTAGAAAAATTAAAATTCTGTCTCCTTGCTCTTCATAGTCCAGCCCTTGCTGCTTCTCCCTTTTCTGAACTTTTATTGTACCTTTGTCAGGCCCTGACTTTAGTGAATAGCCACTTGGAACTTCTCCTCACCTGATGACCACAAGAACTCTTCATTCTCAGCTGCATGACTATGGGAGCCTATCCCAGCCTCCATCCAATCTGCAGTAGTTCAAGTTCAAGGTGGGGTTCCTCACCACCACTTTCATTTTATTTAAATGTCTCATGGGAAATTAGACATAACCAGAGTAGGCAGAATAGTGTACTAACCTCCACTCCCGGCTTCAAAGTTTCTTTATTTACTATTTTACCATCCCACATCTGCCCACAAGATTGTTTCAAAGCAAATTCCCAATATATCACTACCTCTGTAAATATTTCATTATGCAACTCCAAAGATAAGGCTTCTGCTTTTAAAGCAACCATAATGTCATTATTGAACAAGGTAGGATTTCTGATGGCAAGGCTAGATGGGAATGTGGAGACAGTGGTGCAGTTTAATGGAAAATACATTATAAATAATTATAGGTATTGTTTAGTTTTTAAATCCCTAGCAAAAGCTCTTAAATGACCAGTGGTGTTTACCTTGGGAAGCAAGAGGAAACTTTAAGACTACTTTCTATTCCTCTGTGGGCCAGGGATGAGAGGAATTGGAGTCAGAATTAATAGGGAGGAAAAGGGGTAAGAACCCTCACAATGAAACAAAGGATCTGGTCTTACCAAAGGTTATTCTACCCACCACCGCCTTTCCTTACAAATCTCTTCCTGGGCCCCATCCAGATGGAGTCTTTGAGGGTCCCCATGAACTCACTGGGGGGAATTATCTCCCTACTTGGATGGTTTTTTCTTTTTTTAGAGACGGGGGTCTTGCTCTTGCTCAGGCTGGTCTCGAACTCCTGAGCTCAAGCGATCCTCCACTCCTACTTGGATGGTTGTTGATAAAAGGTGTCCAATTCTCCATATTCTGGCAACACGAGAAGATGTGTTCGTGCATCCCGAAGTTACGAATTCTAGGACATATTTTCCCACAGAAACCCTGCTATATATGGTTAAATTCCATAGTACTTGTATAATATAAATTTAAAAGACTTGTGGAGTTTCCTGAGAACCTAACTACCATATATAACATTACCTTTTGTGGAAACTGCTTTTTAATTTCCAAATAATTGACTGCAATGAAATTTGGATTCCACACCACTATAAACTAAAGATTCCAGGATTATTCAGTCTCTCTGATTTAATAATCTTTCCAGATTATATTATGTTATTTTTTATTTTTATTTCAGGTTAGATTATAAGTTTCGTAAGGTCAGACTTTATCCTTGTCTCCTCCACATCTGGCAGTGCGCCAGCACATTGTAGAGCACATAGGCACACTCAGTGTAAACTTGTCAATGGATAGATTGGTTTGAAAATCTATTTGTCGGCTTCAAACTTTTTCCCTTTGTTGCTGTTACTTTTTTTGAGACAGAGTCTCACTCTGTTGCACTAGGTAGAGTGCCATGCTCGGCACACTAACTCACAAGCAACCTCAAAGTCCTGGGCTCAAGCAGTCCTTCTGCTCAGCCTCCCAAGTAGCTGGGACTACAGGCACGTGCCACCATGCCCAGCAATTTGTTCTATATATTTTTAGTTGCCAATTAATTTTTTCTATTTTTAGTAGAGATGGGTCTTGCTCTGCTCAGGCTGGCTTTGAACTCCTGACCTTGAGTGATCCTCCTGCCTCGGCTCCAAGAGTGCTAGGATTACTGGCGTGAGCCACCGCGCCCTGCCATTACTCTGTTACTTTTTTCTTCATTTACAGTGAGAGTTGCCATCCCACTAGTGCCGTCTGGTGGGTTAAAACAGTAGAAGTATTTGAGAGGCAGTAAAAGACCTTGAAGACGAGTGGATGTTTTATTTAATTTTAATTCATGAAACTTGAATTTGTCTCTGAGCTTAGCCTCCTTGTATTTCTGCTGTTTGTGTAGAGTAGACTTTGAAATTAAATGCATCTTTAAGAAACAATCTTTCACTGCCACAACTAAACTCTGCTACTGAACTCACCAATAGGCAATAGAAAGGCAGCTAGCTGCCTGCTTCTGATTCTTTGTACTAGTCATTGTTTACCTCTGCTGTCCCCTCTAGTGACTGTCTACACCTGAGAAACACAAGCTGCCTTGACTGATCAATTCCAGACAGTTTGCAAACTCACATCAGGTGTGGAAGGACTAGTAGATTAACATAAATGTTTTTTTCCTAAAGAAGATAAAAGGTTTTTAAACAAAAAGTTTAAAAGAGGCACACAGTGGTCACACCTGTATTCCTCGCACTTTGGAAGGCAAGGTAGGAGGATCCCTTGAGCCCAGGAGTTTGACGTTGCAGTAAGCTATGATGATCCACTGTACTATAGCCTGGGCAACAGAGAGAGACCTGTCTCAAAAAAAAAAAAGAAAGAAAGAAAATGTCTTATTGTTTATGACTATATTTAATATTCTAGAAAAGGGACAGCTATAGAACAGGACTTTAAAAAATTTTAGGCCGGCCGCGGTGGCTCACGCCTGTAATCCTAGCTCTTGGGGGCCGAGACGGGCGGATTGCTCGCCAAGGTCAGGAGTTCAAAAACCAGCCTGAGCAAGAGCAGACCCGTCTCTACTATAAATAGAAAGAAATTAATTGGCCAACTGATATATATATATAAAAAATTAGCCGGCATGGTGGCGCATGCCTGTAGTCCCAGCTACTCGGGAGGCTGAGGCAGAAGGATCCAGCTCGAGCCCAGGAGTTTGAGGTTGCTGTGAGCTGGCTAACGCCACGGCACTCACTCTAGCCTGGACAACAAAGCGAGACTCTGTCTCATAGTTTTTATAAATGAAGTACAAGCATATATGAAAGGAGACCATCCCTCTCTTCTACCTGTACAAGTTGAAAGACAGACTTCAGATGTGGGTGGATCCATGTAAACCTCTTTCCACAAGAGTCACAATGTGTGTGCTTTACAAATGATATCTCAGTCCTGTCTTTTTTGTTTATAAAATGTAGCACATTATGGCTTCTTGTGAAATTACTATTGTGCTGCTTTTTTCACTGCTCACTTATGTGATTGCTCCATTGTCTTTAAGTGATGGCCTGTCCACTGCCAATTTCCTTGGCGTGGAAATTGTGATAAGGAGAGTATATTTGTTTTCCCTAGTTAGCATATAGAGTTGAACAACTCTGTAGTCTCAATTGCAATAAGACATTTTAATATTATTTGTTAAGCAAAATTACAACATGGGTATATCAAGGTTGGAGGTCAAAAGCTGAACCACTATGAAGCTAGAGATTAGGGGATATATTATAAGAATTAGTCCTTTGACAATTTTGAGAACATGTGGAGAATTCCATGGGAGGTTGGTGTAGGCCCCAAGTTGCTGAAGACTCACAAGTCTGATGGTCAGGAAGAGAAGCTGGACAGTGGGCGCAAGAGCCAAGCACAAACTGGAACCCGTGTCGTCTGCCCCTCATTGCCTGTGTTTTCAAGTCTTCAAACTGTGTTACTTGTTTTGTATGAACTACATGTTCACCCATGAAATATAAATATCAGGGTAGAACTTTTTTTTTTTTGAGACAGAGTCTCACTCTGTTGCTCTGGCTAGAATGCCATGGCATCAGCCTAGCTCACAGCAACCTCTAAGTCGTGGGCTCAAGCAATCCTTCTGCCTCAGCCTCCCAAGTAGCTGGGACTACAGGCATGCGCCACCATGGCCAGCTAATATTTTCTATATATTTTTAGTTGGCCAATTAATTTCTTTCTATTTTTAATAGAGACGGGATCTTGCTCTTGCTCAGGCTGGTCTCGAACTCCTGAGCTCAAATGATCTGCTGGCCTTGGCCTCCCAGAGTGCTAGGATTACAGGCGTGAACCACTGCGCCCAGCCATCAGGGTACAACTTTTAACAGAGAAGGGAATTTTTTTAAGTCCTTCAAATTTGGAAGGTACTTTAATTAGAAAAAAATCTTTCATAACAGAATCATAAAATAGTATAACCCATCATCTTCATTCTTATTTTAGTGTGGAAAAAAGTGCTTAGTCACCTGATCTGATCTGATATGTTGTGGTTAATCTAAACAACATCTTCATTATATCTCCTCAGCATCCAAACATTATGCCTTGGAAAATATTTATATGATATGTGTAACTTAGGAAAAAATTGATATTTTGGGGAATGAATGGGCTTAATTCAAAACAGCTCTATTTTTTTTATGGGAGGAAAAGAATGCCTATAACTATTTTCAAGTCCTTCCTGAAGCTCACGTGAGCTTTTTAGAGCC